GGGGGGGGGGGGGGGCGGCAGGGCCGCAGCGTCGACGGTTCTTTGCGAGGGCGTGGCCCCTCCACAGAGAGCCCGGAGCGTCGTACTCGAGCGGATCCCCGCGGCAGATCAACACCAGGGGAATACCTCTGAACACACTCAGCTGACCAATCCAAGGGTTCGTCGAGGTCAGGGACTCGGAATTCTACCTCAACCCCTAACTCTGGGTGTTTCAATTCATGAGGGGGGGGGGGAGTATGAGCTCTGTCAATATACGCGGAGGGCTTTTTATAAATTCTTTCTCTCGGGGGCTTTTGTCCGGTTTTTCTTGCGAAAACTCTGACGAGAGCCTCTGGGGTACGCGAGGGAAGGGGGTGGGGGAGGGGGCAGGGGGTGCTTTGGAGGGGTCGATTGAAGAGGCGAGAGGGTTTTGGGTTTTTGCACGCATTGCACTGTGATTTTTTGAAAATTAAGGAGTAGTTGCACGCAAATTCTCAAAGGTGTGAAATTGAATTTAATTGGAGATGAAATCGTTCGTGGAAGGTCTCATGCAGGTTGGAAATTCCGGATAATTGGGGTTTCCAGGGTAGATTGCCACGGAGAATTCGGTGACGTGTAGAATTTTCAAATTCATTGCGGAAAGGGAACACCATACACTGTTATGAATTTGTTGAAATTTCGTGGAAGATGTTATAGTAATCTCGTGAGAGTGGCATTGAATCGAAATTAGGGGAAAATGGTTATGAAATTTTAAGTTTTATGTGGCATTCACAGAAATTCACAACTTGATTGAATTTTCAGTGGAGCATGAATATTAAGAAGCAAAATGACATGAATTTTCCATTTTTATAAATAATAATTAAACTGAAAAATTGAGGATTTTATTGATTTCCAGATCATTTAAATTGAAAATCAATGGAATATTTGATTTTTCAATGACAAGATTTCCTAAAATTCTAGTGGAACTTCAACACGATGAAAATTTCCGGCGGAAAATTTTAAAATTTTTTATTTGAAATATCAGGAGTAATTTTGCCATAGATTTTTCCATAAAATTTTCAATTTGCAATGACGAAATTCCTTGAAATTTGAGTGGAATTAAAATGTCCTAAAAATTTCCAACAAGTATACCATAAATTTTATCCAAAAACAGTGTGTATCGACTGAATGGCACGGAAGAGGATATTTTCGGGGAATTTATGGAGAAATATAGCGGAAATTTAGTGGACGGCTAGGAGTCACGAGATATGAGATACTACGAAATCTGGAGAAAAAGGGGGAGGAATGGCCTCGGGCGGTGGTCGTTCCCACGAAGAAAATGAAAATAAATATATGTGGAGGAGATAGAAAAAAATGAGAGTGTTTAGACTAATTTAATCGAGACTCATATATTTTTATAATTTTTTAAAATTTCAAATACAAAAAATGCCTCAATTTTCATTTGCACTAGACAGGACGCGCGCTGATTAGCGCTTCGGCAGTTTCGATATATTTCCATGTAGAACCAGGGATCCTCATCAACATTAAATTTCTGTAATATTCCAAGAATTTGACTCTTACACTAATGAAGGTTTAAAATATGTTGATCTAATTTTTCAAATAATATAAAATTAATAACCTTATTTTTTCGAATAATGATGTTTTTAAAATTTGTTAATATGAAACTGTAAATTTACCACTAAGTGAATAATTAAATTTTCTTAAAAGCGAATATTCGATTACACAACTAATCATCAATCTTCCAACCTCAATTATTGATTGATAAAATAGTTAAAAATTTTAATATTTGAATTGATGATACTCAAAAAATCAAAATTCTAAACTCAAAAAATTTAAGAGCGATATTAACTACAATATTTAACGGTAATTAAATATTACAAATTTGGCTGTCCCTATGTAAACAACTTCATGGAACATTCATTCATCTTTTATAGATAAGATTATCTTACTTTTCTCCAATCAACCTAACATCCTATATTTTTTCGTATTTCCTTCTCCGCAAGTGTTGGCGCTGTAAATCAGTTATTTTTATTCTAGTCAATTAGGCTGAGGGCTCGGAGGCCTGTGAAGGGGGAGGGACTAGTTAATTATAAGGGAACCTCAACGCCTGTGAGGCCTTTGACGCCAACCAATACTCCCAGCCGAAGCTGTTACAGGTTGTTAATCGGAGAGAAATTCTCCGCAAGAAAGGAGGCTTTTCATAATTTAAAGCTCAAGAATTTTCCTTAAAAAACGACCTCTTTTGCCCCGGTAGTTCTGGGATATTGTAAACATTTCTTATCAAACGAAAAGTTCTTTCTGGGGTAAAATGATTGACATTTCCCTCGGCTTTGGGCTTTGTGCTCTGAAATAAAAGTCCTTTTGTGAAAAATCTTGGCTGAAATTTCTGGTAGATTGGAGATTTTTATCTTCAGACTTTCACTAAGTTACAGTTGCCTTGAAATTTCAAGGAATTTCTTCATTTGAAGTTAATAATTTGATTTAAAAAATCAATAGAAAAATTAACTTTGGTTCAATTATTCGATAAAAATTAATAAAAATCTGTAAAACTTCGGTGAATATATTCTAATTTTTAATTGATTGAGTAATCAACGTTATTTAATACTGAATATGTATATTTTTATTCAAAATGTAAATGATTTGGGGAATTCTCGTCTCGAATTTTCAGTGAAATTTTAAATTTCGGAGTTTGCACATTCATCGTTGGGAAAAAATCAATTTTCACACGAGAATTCCCCAACGATGAATATGCGAACTCCTTTTTTCTTGTCAAAGTCTTGCAAAAAAATTCTCATTTCGTCCCCCGAAGAAAAATGACATCAATAATCACCCGATCTACATGAGTTATGACAGGTGGCAAACGAATTCCCCTGCCTCTGGTTTTCCGCAAACCAAACGTACTCGCAAGATTGTTGAGTATAGTCCGCCATGGACCTGACCCAATTGGAGCGAATCTACTTGTGTACATTCTCCTCGGGGTTATATATCGCGACTTGGAGGTGACGCGCGGGTAAAGGCAGCGATGCTCTTTGTGGCGGGCAAGGTTAAGCGGCGACCCTCGAACTTATAAATAGGTAAAACCCGGCGGATCGAGTCCAAGTGAGATCGCAGAACCAGAGAGAGAGAGAGAGAGAGGGTGGATCTTCCTCATTTTATATTTCCATTTCATCGAGTCGAATCGAATCGTAAAAATTGTTTTCACTGGATGGAATACGACGGAAGTTTGGAGTGGAGAAATAGTTTTGTGACATGAGAAATTCTTGGTGGGGTC